GCCATTCTAATAAGTGTGTAGTGGTATCTCACTGTTTTAGTTTCCATGTATGTGATGATGTATGATGTGGAACATCTTTTCATATGCTCATTTGCCATCTGTATATCTTTTGATGAGATGTCAGTTAAGGTCTTTGCTCGTGTTTAAATTGGTTGTTTGTTTTCTTATTGTTGAGTTTTAAGAGTTATTTTATATTTTGTATAATAGCCCTTTATCAGATGTCATTTGTTTGCTTGCAGTTTTTTGATAATGACCACTTTTACAAGTGTGAGGTGATGGCTCATTTTGTTTTTGATTTGCATTTCTCTGATAATAAGTGGTGTTGAGCATCTTTTCATAACCTATTGGCCATTTTGTCTGTCCTTTTTTTTTTATAAGGCTGTGCCTTGTGGCATGTGGGATCTTAGTTCCCCAATGAGGGATCAAACCCATGCCCCCTGTATTGGGAGCACAGAGTCTTAACCACTGAACCACCAGGGAAAGACCCTTTGGAAAAATGTCTATTTAACCTACTCCAGTATTCTTGCCTGGAGAATCCCATGGACAGAGGAACCTGGCAGGCTACAGTCTATGGGGTCGCAAGAATTGGACATGACTTAGCGACTAAACAACAATTCATTTTTTAATCAGGTTGTTTTCTTGCTATTGAGTTGTAGGTGTTCCTTATATATTTTGAATGTTAGCCCCTTATCAGATACATGGATGGTTCACAAACATTTTCTCCCCTATTTCATAGGTTACCTTTTCTTTTTTTTGGTCCACAACTTGAGGCATGCAACATCCTGGCTCCTCAGGGATCAAGCTGTGTCCCCTGCAGTAGAAGCATGGAGCTTTAACCCCTGGGCCTCAGGGAAGTCCCCTGCCTTTTCATTTTGTTTGTCGTTTCCTTGCTGTGCATACAGTTTTTAGTTTGATGGTCCACTTGTCTGTTTTTGCTCTCATTGTCTGTGCTTTTGGTGTCATATCCAAGAAATCATTGCCAAGACCAATGTCATGAAGCTTTCTTCCTGTTTTTTTCTAGGGGTTTTACAGTTTCAGGTCTTATTTTTATGTATTTGATCTATTTTGAGTTGATTTTTGTGTATAATGTAAGAAGTATCCAATTTAGTTCTTTTGTATATGACTATCCATAATGTTGTTGAACATCTAACGAAGTTTTCAGTTTAGTAGTTATATTCTTTAGTGCTGCAATTTGTTTGGTTCTTTTAAAATTTTCTGTCCTTTTGTTAAATTTCTCATTCTCTTCATGCATCATTTTCCTGAACTCGCTGAGCATCTCTATGATGGTTATTTGAAATTCATTGTCAGATAATCCATATACCTCTAATTCTTTAGGATCAGTTTCTGAAGACAAATTTTGTTCCTTTTATTGGACCAATTTTACCTGTTTCTTTATGTTCCTTGTAGTTTTCTGTTGGTATCTTTACATTTGAAAAAACGCTCTTTTATCCCAGGCTTTATGGACTGCTTCAGTGCAGGGAAAGGCCTTTACCAATCAGCTTGGCTATAGGTTCTGGGAGCCTCTCAAATTTTTTCTCTGGCTGTGTCTTCTCTGGCCTAATGTGTAGATTCCTGATTAGAGGGATTTTCTACAAGCTTTCCCCCTCTTGCACCCTCTGGTGTCCATCTGTTGTACCCTAGCAGCTTCTTTTGTCCTTAGTGGCTCCCAGGCAGCTAGAGTATGCCGGGTACTGTCAGTGCCCGGAGTCAGGCTAGACAGAAGCCAGTCTCTCAGGCAGCGCCCCCTCCCCCAAAGCTGGGATACTGGGCACACGCTCTAGTCTTCTCTTTCTCCGTGGAGGGAGAGATTGCCAAGCTGTTGGGCACCTCTCTGACCCCCCAAACCCCCTCACTGGCCCCGCCCCCGGAAGAATGTTAGATGTATATTTAGTCCAGTCTTCTCTTTCCCTCCTCAGAGAGAATTTTGAAATTGGGAATTGCCTTCCAGTCGTGCAGTGCTGTGCCAGGAGTAGGGACCGTGGTGAGAAAGCATCATGTATTTTCCTAGGAGCTTTAATGCAGCTGGTTTAGTTCTTGCCTGGGGTGCAGGAGCTCTTAACTGTTTCTGAATTTCTCATAAAGGGAATTGTGGATATGTATTGTTGAGTTGTGTTTCTATGGGAGGAAGGAAGGCCTGGGGCCTCCTATTGTGCCATCTTGCTGAGCCACTCCCATCAAGGACATTCTTAAGTGAAACTGGCTTTTGTTTGTGTGAATGATCATGAGAGATATAATGAAACAATTGGTGACATCTTACATGAGACTGACTTTATTCTTTGATTTCTTTTTTAAAAAAAAATTTATTCTTTGACTTCTTGACTGTGACAAATTCAGTGAGACAGTTTGGTGCTACTACCCTGATGAATGCTAAGGTGCCAGCAGTCTCACCTTCCTTTGCTTTTGAATTATTAGTGCAAATGTCAGTACAATAAGAAGGGAAATGCAGTCTTAGTGCTATTACAAATATAGTTTTGACCTTGTAGAATGCTAGAAAGTGTCTTGGGGATCAGGGGTTTGTGAACCACACTATCAGAACTGCTGCTTTATCAAGTTATAACTTTTTTTCTTACTCCTAATTTTTAAAACGTTTTTTAAAAAATAGTGAATGGTTATTAAATTTTGTCAAATGTCATTTATGCATAAAAAGACATAGAAAACTAGGCATAGAAACTTTCTGAACTATTTTGTGATTTTAAAAGCTTAATGTGGTAAATTAATTTGAACCAACTTTGTGTATTTGGGATAAACCCACATTAACCTTGATGTATTTCAGTATTTTTCAGTATATATATCTGTACATATTTAATGGAGCTTCCCAAGTGGCTCAGTGGTAAAGAATCCACCTGCCAATGCAGGAGACATAAGAGAAGCAAGTCTATTCCTGGGTTGGGAAGATCCCATGGAATAGGAGATGGCAACCTGCTCCAGTATTCTTGCCTGGGAAGTTCCATGGACAGAGGAGCCTGGCAGGCTACAGTCCACAGGGTCACAAAGAGTCAGACACGACCGAGAGAGTAAGCACACACATATAATCTAGTACTACACGTGTTTAAATACTGTAAGTCACTATTATTATTCAGTTAATATTAGCATTACCTGAATACTTAGCACTTTTTTCCTCCTCATTTCTTGCTGCAGCTCTAAGGTTCTATCTGGGATCATTTTTATCCCACCTAAAGGATGTCCTGAAGCATTGCTTTTGGAGTGTGTGACCTGAATTGTTACCAGTTTGACGTTCAGTTCTGATTTTGTGTTTTCTTGGAATTGTGTTTTCTGTGTATAGAATTTTAGGTTGGCAGATACTTTGTTTCAAAAGTGTTAGCTGCTCAATTTCCTGTAGCTTTACTGTGATTATGTCCAGATATGGATTTAATTTCAGTTCTGAAAAACTGCATTTGTGGGCATTATTTCTTCAAATACTGCTTTTGCTCTGTTCTCCCTTCTTTCTGTAATTCCAATTAAACATACCTCCTTTCACTGTATACTGTATATCTTTTGCTGTGTTCAAATTAATGAAGAAATATTCAACACACAGCAAGTTTTTTTTAAATTTTGAACTTTCTGAAAAAAAATTCAACTTTTTGTTTTTAAGCTTTATTATTGGAAAAACACCCCCGTTTGAGGAAGTAGGTATAATAGCCCCCCAATGAAAATCATCAACCAACTTCAGTTTATCAATTGCTGGCCAATCTTGTTTCATCTATAACTATACCCATTTCCCCATATTATTGAAGTAAATGTTTCATGTAAATGTAAATATTTCAACGTCTGTCGTTTAAAGAGTCTATAAAATATTCCAGTTGGCTCGTAAATGTTATTTTTAAAAATATTTGTTTGAAACAGGATCCAAGTAAAGATCCATACTCTGTGATTTTGCTACATTGTGATTGTGCTTTGCTTAGTCACTCAGTCGTGTCTGACTCTTTGGGACCCCACGGGCTGTAGCCCACCAGGCTCCTCTGTCCATGGGGATTCTCCAGGCAAGAATACTGGAGTGGGTTGCCATGCCCTCCTCCAGGGGTTCTTTCTGACCCAGGAATTGAACTGGGGTCTCCTGCATTGCAGGCAAATTCTTTACCATCTGAGCCATGAGGGAAGTGCATACATTGCAATAGATGTACTTCTTAAGCCTTTTTTACCCTGAGGATCCCCCACCATCTTTTATTTTTCCTTGTAATATATTTGTTGAAGAGACTGGGCCATTGTCCTGTACAGTTTCCCACAGTTTGTATTTAAGTTTTGCTCCCCCTCCTCAAAGATAGCCTCATACGTGGTGGTGTATTCTTGTATTAGGATCAGGATTGCATCTTAGGATGTGAACAGCCATTGATAGATGCCTAGATTCTTGAATTTATTAGGGACTTAAAAATGGTGCTGTTCTATCATACCTTTGTTAGCTGAAATACTAACAGAGGCATTTCTTTTTTTTTTTTCCTTTAGCCATGGACTTTATTGTTTGAATATTAACAACTATTATTCTATACTCGCATTTTAATTTCTTACAAAACTCTACATTCCACATTGCTAGGTCTCTTCATTCTCCATTTTATGCCACATTTTCATGAAAAGCTATTTCCCTGAATCATAATCTATCTGATTGTGTGTTTGTTGTTATGGTTGTTGTGGTGTAGTCACTAAATTGTGACCGCATGGATCATAGACCCCCAGGCCCTTTTGTCCATGGGGTTCTCTAGGCAAGAATACTGGAGTGGGTTGCCATTTCCTTCTCCACAGATTTCTTATCAACTGTTGAATTGTATACAAAAGGCAGAATAAGTGCTTGATTTTCATTCTTTTATTTACTAATTTTCATTCAAAGTAATGTCTTGATTCATTAGCATCTTCCAATTATGGTTTTTAGGTTTATTTTATTTAAATTATAGACTAATGGACTTAAAATATGTGATACATTTCCAGATGTTTTTAGTTGATAGAATTTGCTGTATAAGGATTATCTGTGTAGAATTAGAAATTAATACAGATTATTTGTTTTATTCTAGTTTGCATTTATGCCGGATCCTCAGTGAAAATAAAAGCCACGATAGTTCAACATATAGAGGTAAGACTTTTAAAAGTATCATAGCTATGAGATTTGGCTTGGTCAAAATTAATAAAATACCCTGTTTCCATTAAATTTTATAAATAGAAGAGCTAGCATGGAAAGAGAAACTAATTTTGATCTTGTTTGTACTCAGAAACTTGCAGAAACTGAGGTTCAGTGTTTTTACTAAAGCTGGTTGGTTATGTTTAGGTGGTATCTGGGGATCTTGTTAAAGGCAGTTGTCATGGAAAACATTACAAGCAAAGGAGTTGTTTATGACTGCATATCTCAAATATGATTTATTAAGTAAAGTGTTATGCAATTAAACTGAATGTAAATTTTTAGTTATTTTAATTTTAAAGGATTTACTGTTTAATTTTTATGAATTTAAAATTAGATATATGGATTCAGAAAAGGAGGGGCAAAAACAAAAGCAATGATGCCCAGTAATTTAAACCATTTTCATATGTAGCTTTCACTGGGGGTAGAATCCATGACATTTTTTTTCCAATCTGTAAAAATAATTTATAATCAATATTCTATTTTAAATAAGTTATTAGATGATTTTCTTTAAATGTTTACTTTTATCAAAAATTAGATATTAATATGAACATATATACTTTTTGAAGAACATTTGGATTTTTGAGTAGAAAGCATTTTCAAATGAGTGAATGAACCATTTTTCTTTCTGTCATTTGGGTAAGACTTCTTAACATTCCTTGCTCAGTCCCCAGAGTTATTTTACAGTCATACTGCTTTTAAAATTTCAGATCATTCATGAAGATTTTTGAGGTTGTTAATATAATGCCTTTTTTGAATAAGTCAGTTGACTGTCAGAAGAGTAAGAAACTAAAAAAAGAGTCCTTTTTAAAAGCATTTGGATAGTTTTCCCCACCTCATGTTTAAAACAAGTTTCTAACTTCTCAGTTAACTTGGATCTTGTTTGTGTTTGAAACCTTAAGTGGATAAAATAAAAAAAAAATTCTCAGAAAAACTAAATAACATAACAGGGTGGTTACTCTTACAGTTTTAAATGGAACTATTTAGATCTTTAATAACTATCAGACTATTGTTAATTTGCATGGTTGTTCTGATTCACATATGAAACTCAAAATAGTAGGAGTGTAACCTCAGTGGCTCAATTGCGGGGGTTCTCTCTTGCTCTTGTCTACTTGCAGGGAACTGAATGTTGTTTCTTTAGAATTTCCTTTGTATATCTCAGGGGGATTGACTTTGGGTATTGTTCCTTCTGCCTTTTCTCTTTTTGCCTCTCTCTCCAAATTGATTTCATTTCTGGAAGGCGGTTTCCCTTGTACATGCTGCTGCTTTTATAAGTTCCTTTTATAAGTCCCGTCCCCCCATAAAATAACATAGTAAGGATGGCTGATGAACATGAGCATTCCTAGTGATATTTGACATAACTAGTGGCTAAAATGCTCATATTCCACAAAGAATGTCTAGAATCTCTAGAAGTTCCTTTTACTTGTGGCGATTCTTGAAACTGCTTTTTCTGAAATGTTAGCATTTATTCTTTTCTGTATAATTGTAAGCATTGTAATTTTCCTCCCCATTGTAAATCTAAAGTTTTTCAATTTTTGTGTAGATTTAGCAGGGTTTTGTGGACTAGTCTTTGTAGTCTCTAAGACATCACTTACCGTTTCTGTGGATAAAATACAACAGGAGTTCTAGCCATTTAAATGGGTATTTAAATGATATGTGAATTAGGGACTGTCTTTGCTACTTTGTGGATTACATTGTGATTGTTTTTGTGTTAGTGTCAGCAAAATGACCTGGGCCATTTGTTCTCTATTTTAATCTCCTTTGATTAAGGTTAGAATTCCCTCAGCCCCTGTGAGCCCATATTCTTATGGGAATTTAGTTTATGATGCTCAGCTGTTTTGTTCTTCTGTGAGTGATTGCTTTTTAAAAAAATCTTAGTTATGTGGATAATTTCAAATGAATATTATTTGTTACAAAAGCATTTTATTAATGGAAATTGAAAGCATGAAAATGACCTCATATTCCTACCATAGTAACAGAAATTTTTCCTTTGCATTTTAGTTTTTATGAATTTATTATAAGCATAATGAGGGCATATTTGTGAGAAAGGTAGAATATATTTAATGAATCCTTCATAAGGAATTGGGATAATCTGGCTATATTTCTTTTGTGAATTATTTAGTGGACAAATTAATTTCATTGTAAAATACTATTTTCTTTGTTTAAGGGGAGATTGATACAAGTTTTGATTTCTGTTATGTTCCTTTCTGTGGCTAGTAGTAGACCAAAGGAGATTTTTAAGTATTGGATTTCTTTTAAATATTTTTTTAATTTTTATGACTGAGCTGAATGGCTTGTGGGATCTCAGTTCCCTGAACAGGAATTGAACCTGGGCCATGGCAGTGAAAGCACTGAGTCCTAACCACTAGCTGCTGCTGTTAAGTCGCTTCAGTCGTGTCTGACTCTGTGTGACCCCATAGATGGCAGCCCACCAGGCTCCCCTGTCCCTGGGATTCTCCAGGCAAGAACACTGGAATGGGTTGTCATTNTAATATTCCATGGTGTATATGTACCACAGCTTCCTCATCCATTCGTCTGCTGATGGGCATCTAGGTTGCTTCCATGTCCTGGCTATTATAAACAGTGCTGCGATGAACATTGGGGTGCACGTGTCTCTTTCAGATCTGGTTTCCTCGGTGTGTGTTTTCTTATTTTTAAAGAGAGGAAGGAGGTAAAGATTTTAGTGTTTGGGACTAAAGAAAAAGGTAGCTGGAAGGATATGTTCACCTGACCATTAACTCCTACCTCCTCCCAAAACTCCTCCAGGAAAGGGGTACTATGCTAATTGTGAATGAGACAACTGTATTTGTGGTTGACAATTCTCACAGGACTGCTGTTTTTTTGTCTGTATGTACATATGTAATTATGATCATCCCTTAGTATCTACAGGGAATTAGTTCCAGGAGCCCCCTCAAATAGCAAAATCCAAGTATCCTCAAGTCCCCTATTAAAATTGCATAGTACAGTGAATAAAGTCAGCCCTTCATATTCATGGGTACAGAATTTGTGGATACCAAGGGCTGAATATATTTTAGTTTGAATTCTGATGGAAATAGAGGAAAAGTTGAGGTTTAGGTTTGGGGAGAAATTTCTCTGACAGGTTATGGGTTTTATATTTACTATTATTCCTTACCTGTTTGTTGTCAGTGTAGCCCTGATATTGAATTAACTATAATCTGAATATAGTTAGAAAAATCAGCAAAATCTCTTGGTGAGAAGAATGGTTAGTTTATATTCATTTGCTGGAGTTCTATGCAGTCCTTAAAAATAATTTTGTAGACTTTGGTAGCAGGAGGAAATACTTTTTTTTTTTTTTTTAGGAAATACTTTTAAAAGTGTTTGTCGGGGAATCAGTACCAAATGATGTGAACTCTGAATGCATGTATGTAAAATATGTAGAGATATAGAAAAGGATTGGAAGGAAGTGCTCAAGCAATAGTTATGTTACAGTAGTGCAGTCAGTTCAGTTCAGTCGCTCAGTCGTGTCTGACTTTGCGACCCCGTGAACCGCAGCATGCCTTTGTTTTTGTGAAAATAAAAGGAAAAAATCTGCTAGAGAAAAGCATTAGAAATATATTTTTCTTAATCATTATTGGTGTTTATAATAATCTGAGAAGTATGAAATACATAGGTCTTCCCTTAGAGGGTCTACCTTTCATATTCAAGAGATTGTGTCCTTACACTCTTTGTTTTATGTTTGACAGATTTCCAGCAAGCTCTTTATGAATTCTCATACCATGTCATTAAAGGAAATCTAAAGCACGAACAGGCATCTAATGTTCTTAGTGACATTAGTGTAAGTATGTGTATGTATGTTTTTTTAATTTGATAATTGTTGCATATTTTTTTGCCTTTGATAAAAGGGATCCTGAAGTATATAACTTGTGTTTTATTTTATTCAAAATGGTAAGCCATTGTTGCTGGACAGTAATACAGGTATTTTAATCTTTTTCTGTGGCTATGAGTAGAGCAGAAAATATTAGGTAAGCTGGGAGAGCAAAAACATCTATAAAAAATATTGGTTATAATGTTCTCTCAATATTAGCATAACAAAACATTTTCTTTTGTTTGTGGTTATGTTTAGAAATTAAACATATTTTTAAAACTGAGGATGAAATTATTTTAAAATGAAATTGTATGATTCTAACGTTTACTTAATGCTAATTTTCATGTTTGCTTTAGAAATAATAACTAGATTTTTTTCCCTCACCTTTCAGTGGCTATTGAAAGGTGAGGAAAAAAAAACTTTGTTTCACTCTTTTGTTTAGTGGGCTTCCCTGGTGGCTCAGATGGTAAAGAAACTGCTTGCAATGCAGGAGACCTGGGTAGGAAAGATTCTCTGGAGAAGGGAATGACAACCTTCTCCAGTATTCTTTCCTGGAGAATTCCATGGACAGAGGAGCCTGGCAGGATACAGTCCATGGGGTCACAAAGAGTCAGACACGACTGAGTGACTAACACACAAACTTTTGTTTACTAGAAAGGTTAAGTTAGATTCAGACAAGATACTTTTCATGGTTGTTTGTTATTTGAATTGAAAGATGAACTCTCAAATTGTAAAGATGTTTATTGTACAGCAGGGGTTAAGTTTCATTTTTTTTTTACAAGTGATATTTTATTTTTACTAGGCTGAGTTTTACACTTGTATAAATAAAATTACATGTCCAGTCGAGAACAGCTTTTATAATAAGTATTTTTGAGGTGGTACCTGGAGTTTCTTGATATCCGTATGAATTTCTGTAGGCTTTAAATTTCTGTAGCCTTTAGCTTTGTATGATTTTTCTGCTTTCCCAAGAATAGTCTTAAGGAATTTCTATGTTTAGTTGTTGTGATTTTTTCCCCCATCATGTTGAGATGTATTTGAGCAGTAGAGGTTCAGAATGAGTTTCTCTTTTACCCCTAAACTGTCTCTATCTGATTAGTTCATGTAGGAGTAGTCTATTTCTTCAATAAGTGATATTCCGTGTTTGAAAACTCTTGTCTTGCTCTGTTATTTTGGAGCACTTTCATTCAAGTAGACATAGCCAGATTTCATAGCCCTTAAGAAAAGACTAATGTCTGATTGGCAATTAAGGTCATTTCATTCTGTAAATTGGGCATGAGTATAGGGTTTATTGTGTTAATGGAATTTGATTCTAATACTCTTCCCACTTATTGAGAGTGAATAGTTCAAATGAACTTAATGTGTTTCATTCTTACTTAGCTTCCCTTTCTTTGAGTGCTTAGTAATATATATACTTCTGCAGCTGGATCCTTTGTGATGGCTAGATTCTCATAGCCCCATATTGCACTGTCCCATATCTTAGCCACAGAAACATATCTTGTGTGTCTTATAGCTGCCAGGTTTTTCTTTAGAATTATATTTCTTTTCTTTACTCTCTGAAAATAGGCTAATTTTAGTGTTGCTATAGTGCCAGCAAACTAATTGCAATAATTGAACAGTGATCCTTACTAATGGAAAATGGCTCTAAAATTGGGCATGGGAGTGTGAAGCCAGGAGACAAATCTATTATAAATGTTGGATCCGTTTCTCCAAAGGCTGCAAACATCAGTGCATAAAGAAAATATAGATTTTGGGTAATTGTTTTCATCTTCAGCGAATCTTGAGTTATGAGACAACTGCTTATACTTATTATTATTGCATTTTTCAGACTTCTGTTCTGAATACTTTGAGTTTTGCTTAGGTCAATGTTGACTCAGGTATGAGCACAGCATTTAAAGTTTTAGGTGAAAATGTATCATTTTAAACAATCTTACTTTAGATAGGTGTAAGGTACTCCAAATTCCAGTGGTTTCTGACATGAAACTTCATTGAAAAAATGTTACTCATTTGTGTTTTTTATTATTTCCTGAGGTGCTTGTTTAAGGTTCCTTTTTTTTTTTAACTCAAGTTATTTCATGGTAGACGTTTAAATAGGTTTTCTAACCATTATCTCCCTGTTTTAATTTTCTCTGTATTATGAAACTTGAAGAATTTTATTTGTCAACATAGTGGTATTAGGGTTTTGTTGTTATGTTTGACTGAAGAGTGTTATTGTGAACCTATAGTACTTGTTAGTGTGCTATTCTAGTATTTACTATGAATAATTGTATTTTTTAAAAATTAGGAATTTCGTGAGGATATGCCCTCCATTCTTGCTGATGTATTCTGCATATTAGGTAGGTATTAATAAGCCTGTATTAATTTCACTTGTAAATAGCCTTTATTTCACTTGTAAAAACTGCTGTTTGGAAAATTAATGTTCTTTGTTAAATAAAATATTTTTTTAAGCTAAGGATTTTACAAATGTTTCTACAAATCTAGATTATATATATTTTTACTTTATAGAGAATATAGTATTGTAAATCAAATGTGAATTTAATCACTATATTTAAATAGTTCTAGTTTATAATTTAAATAGTTTGAATTTTTATGAATATATCTTTGTATAAAATTGAGCTAAGTTAAGTATTTCAGGTTTAAAAATCCAGGTTTTCTGAAGTTAGTCTGAATTATTCAGATTTTAGTAACCACCTAGTTAATATTATTCAATGCAGGTTATCAATGAATGTCAGAATATCAAACTTAGGACACTCGAGAGATTTTGCTTTTGTATTTTGTACTTTGCTATTGTACTCTTTTGATTTTTAATTTTAGAAAGAGCAAGGAGAGCCCAAGTAATCAAAAATACTTTTGTTTTGAGGATGAGAAACCAGCTTTGGAAATAGCAACTTCTCTCTTTGTCCAGAATAAGTAAGAATTAATGTAAGATCCCTGGAAAAGGGATAGGCTACCCACTCCAGTACTCTTGGCCTTCCCTGGTGGCTCAGCTGGTAAAGAATCCACCTGCAGTGTGGGAGACCTGGGTTCAATCCCTGGGTTGGGAAGATCCCCTGGACAAGGGAAAGGGTACCCACTCCAGTATTCTGGCCTGGAGAATCCCATGGACTGTATAGTCCATTGGGTCGCAAAGAGTCAGAGACAACTGAGTGAGTTTCATTTTCACATGCAAGATAAGAATGGAATATTTCTTTGACTTGGAACAAAAGGTAGTATCCCTCCATGGGAAGCATGGATTTGAAAAATAATGTATAGTACAAATAAATTTCTCTTATTTTAAATCTGAGTTAAAGTATCTGAGCACAGTTTTCCGCATCAGTCTTAAACGTTCTGTAACTTTAATCTGTTAGAAAACATTACCAGACATGATAATATTCACTTTAAAATAAGACTTATTCTCTGAGAGTTTGTCAGGCTGGAATGAATTACTTTACTTTAGCTCATTAATCTTAACTCTTAGAATGAGATAGGTTACTTAATTTGTCTTACTGAGAATCTGGAATTTGATTGCAACAAATCTAAATGCCTGGTCCTTGATCCTTCATGATGTTTAAGATTTTATAACATCAGTAATGTTGTGAACAGGTCAAAATGTTTGTGGACTGTGAATGATAAATGAAAAGAGCAGACAGTTGATTGGATGACAGTATGTCCCATTTCTGTTTTGTTTTCCCTGGCGTAATTATTAATTGTGCCTTCTGTCAATCTTAAAACTCCTGGTTTAGATGATAAAGTATTTGTTTTTGCTATCTATTGGGTTGATTGATTTTAATTTTTAGAGCAGGCGCTAAAGATATTATATGACAAATAAATACAACATGAGTCAAGTTTCAATTTAAAAAATTGTTTTTACTATAAGGAGAAAAGGAAAGATATACCCATCTGAATGCAGAGTTCCAAAGAATAGCAAGGATAGATAAGAAAGCCTTCCTCAGTGATCAGTGCAGAGAAATAGAGGAAAACAATAGAATGGGAAAGACTAGAGACCTCTTCAAAAAAATTAGAGATAGCAAGGGAACATTTCATGCAAAGATGGGCACAATAAAGGACAGAAATGGTATGGACTTAACAGAAGCAGAAGATATTAAGAAGAGGTGGCAAGAATACACAGAAGAACTATACAGAAAGATCTCAATGACCCAGATAACCACGATGGTGTGATCACTCACCTAGAGTCAGACATCCTGGAATGCAAAGTCAAGTGGACCTTAGGAAGCATCACTATGAACAAAGCTAGCGGAGGTGATGGAATTGTAGCTGAGCTATTTCAAATCCTAAAAGATGATGCTGTGAAAGTGCTGTACTCAAACTCAATATGCCAGCAAATTTGGGGAACTCAGCAGTGGCCACAGGACTGGAAAAGGTCAGTTTTCATTCCAATGCCAAAGAATGTTCAAACTACCTCACAATTGCACTCATCTCACATGTTAGCAAAGTAATGCTGAAAATTCTCCAAACAAGACTTTGACACATGTGAACCGAGAACTTCCAGATGTTCAAGCTGGATTTAGAGAAGGCAGAGGAAGCAGAGTTCAACTTGCCAACATCCGTTGGATCATAGAAAAAGCAAGAGCATTCCAGAAAAACCTCTGCTTTATTGACTACGCCAAAGCCTTTCACTGTGTGGATCACAATAAACTGTGGAAAATTCTGAAAGAGATGGGAATACCAGACCACCTGACCTGCCTCTTGAGAAATCTGTATGCAGGTCAGGAAGCAACAGTTAGAACTGGACATGGAACAACAGACTGGTTCCAAATAGGAAAAGGAGTACGTCAAGGCTGTATATTGTCACCCTGCTTATTTAACTTATATGCAGAGTACATCATGAGAAACGCTGGGCTGGAAGAAGCACAAGCTGGAATCAAGATTGCCAGAAGAAATATCAATAACCTCAGATATGCAGATGACACCACTCTTATGTCAGAAAGTGAAGAGGAACTGAGAGCCTCTTGATGAAAGTGAAAGAGGAAAGTGAAAAAGCTGGCTTAACACTCAGCATTCAAAAAACAAAGATCATGGCATCCAGTCCCATCACTTCATGGCAAATAGATGGGGAAACAATGTAAACGGGGACAGACTTTATTTTCTTAGACTCCAAAATGACTGCAGATGGTGACTGCAGCCATGAAATTAAAAGATGTTTGCTCCTTGGAAGAAAAGTTATGACCAACCTAGACAGCATATTAAAAAGCAGAGACATTACTTTTCCGACAGTGGTCTGTCTAGTCAAAGCTATGGTTTTTCCAGTAGTCATGTATGGATGTGAGAGTTGGACCATAAAGAAAGCTGAGCGCTGAAGAATTGATGCTTTTGAACTGTGGTGTTGGAGAAAACTCTTGAGAGTCCCCTGGACTGCAAGGAGATCCAACCAGTCCATCCTAAAGGAAATCAGTCCTGATTTCCAATATTCATTGGAAGGACTGATGTTGAAGCTGAAACTCCAATACTTTGGCTACCTGACGTGAAGAACTGACTCATTAGAAAAGACTCTGATGCTAGAAAAGATTTAAGGCAGGAGGAGAAGGGGACGACAGAGGATGAAATGGTTGGATGGCATCACCGACTTGATGGACATGAGTTTGAGCAAGCTTCGGGAGTTGGTGATGGACAGGGAAGCCTGGTGTGCTGCAGTCCATGGGGTTGCAAAGAGTTGGACACGACTGAGCAGCTGAACTGAACTGATACATTTATAAGCCTGAAAGAATGATTTGTAGATACCAGTTTGTGGAAGCTGTTAGTCCTTGATAGTGTCAGAAATATATTTTTGTCTTTCTGTGGATAATTAGTTATCAGCTTATCAGTAAAGTTCTAGTAATTTGTTTTTTTATTGACTTATTAGGATATATTTTCCCTTCATAGTTGTGTAGTAATAAGAATTATTGTTACAAGTCATTGCTTTTTACTAGTAACATGAATTCATGAGGATGGTGTTTGGTTGCTCTTGGGAAATTTCTTTTAGCCTATCCAGTCCATTTTTACAAGCAAGATTAGGATGGCAAACTTGGAAAGAGAATTTCCCACACCTGCCCCCTCACTCACCCACTCCTACCCTTGGCAGAAAAAAAAAAAAGATCCAGGGGTGACTGCATACCAAGATAGGGGAATAGGAGTAAGAATGCGAGCTCTCTCTAATGATAATGATCATGATAATTATAATGATTGTAACAGTAATAATAATATAGGTGCCATTTTGGAACACCTTCTATATGTTCAGCATTTTATGTTTTCTGTAAGGTAGGTTTATGGATCAGAAAATTGAAGCTTAGGAAAGTAATTTCTCAAGGCCACACAACTAGTAAGGCAGGGTTTGAACCTGGGTCTTTTTGGTTCTAGAGTCCATGATCTTTTTACTGCATCATGTTATCTTTATAATATTTTGGCAATTATAAGGAAAATCAGTGCTGTACTTTTCCTGGTTGAGATAGCATTTTCCTTTAAAAGACTAATCATGTAAGGGTGAGCAGGCCTGAGAGGTATTAATTAATATATTAACCCCAAAGGAAAGTGTGGTGTAACTTCATGCACTGTTGGGACCTCTGAGCTGGGTTAGGTGGTTGGTAATAGTGGGCCTAGAGTTTTAAATGACTGAGGACTTTTTAGTAAAATCAGAGGGAAATTAAAGAGAACTTTGATGCTGATTTGGGGTTGAGGAGTCAGGAATAGTATATGAATTTATTGGAATAGTTTCATGAGTCAGAATAAAAAGAATAAAGTAAACAGGGAAGGCATAATTGGGATAATAGATTCCTGTGTTGATGATTGAGATAACTTAGCTAGGAAATTTACTGAGGTCCCATTAAGCATTTCCTAACATGGTCAGAACCCAGAGAGTTGTATCTTAATCAGGTCTGGTGGCTAAGGGGAGAGTATATTTGGTTTGTAGAAGATGAACCTGCTACCCAAGTACTCTCATTTTAGGGACTTTGGAGGTAGATATTAGGGACTGTAGGGCCTTGGAGGGTAGATAGACATTGGTTAAAAGAAGAGGCCCAATTTAGTCCTGACCTCTCAAGATCAGTGTGTTTGAAGTTCTAGACTGGGGAGGGACCAGAAAACCAGCTAATGGGGAGACCACTTGGGAGTCCCTGGAAAGGATTGATGAGATGCATGTAAATTTAAAGTCTTACTGAGAGATTGAGATTGTACTGCAATTTAAAGTACATTACAGGGTGTATAAATTGCACCCTGAAATTCCCTTAATACCCTTGATCTGATTGTGTGCTTAGCTGTAGCATTCAGAATATTGGGAAATGGCACTTTCCAAGAAGGAAAAGTGGAGAAGTGCCAGGAAAACGTGGATTGTTTAACAATAGATCCTCTTCTCTCTTGATTCTTAGTGATGTCAATAGAAAGTAAACTGAAGGATAGCAGTGGTACAATGTCTGTCTGGGGGGAACCCTAGAACTCCTAGAGGACAATTTTTATTGCATCACTAAAATGGGTGCCTTTTTCTGTAGTACGTTTTAAATATAAGTTGATTTTTAAAGTAAAGTGATGGTGTGTAATCAGTTAAAACAATAATTCTGAGATCAATCTGGTAATCCTGCTAATCCTGGTTGAAGTTTTTGATGCTTAGCATTTAGGACTAATTGTTTATTTCCTCTATACTTTAGATGAGAAAATGGTTTGACAAATTCTTTGAATAATTTACTGAAGCTCAAGGAAGTGTCATTTAAAAAAATATTTAAATAGGAAGAAAATGAAAACCTTCACTGAATTTTTCTTTGCTGACTAGAATTGTAATTCAAAATAAGATGTTAAAAATATCTTCTAATACAGTTTTCATAGAGTTGGTGACCAAGTAGCTTGGTTAGAACATGGTACGTGGTACCAATGTTCTGTCAAGGGCTTGATCTTCATGAATAATAGGGTCTTTAGTATTAGAAGAGATCTTTGTTGTCACCCAGTTCAATTTTCCACCTTAGTGTCTCTGACGTGTGGTCATTTAAACTTTGCTTGAATGTTTCCATTTTTTTTTTTCTTGGCTATGCCACATGACTTACGGGTCCTTAGTTCCTCAATCAAAGGTTGAATCCAGGCCTTGGGTGGTGAAAACACCAAGTACTAACCACTGGACCACCAGGAAATTCCCGAATGTTTCCATTTTTTTTGAAAGCAGTAGTTTTTTGAAGCTTTGTTGCTTCCAATGCCTTAGCACATAGCTCCATAATCAACTGACCATTTTATGGATATGCCATTGGTCACAAGGTCAATCTTCAGTATCATGAGAAATTAATTCTAATATTCATATGCATATGAAGGACAGCTTATGCTTATCACAGTTTAAACTTTTCCCCCCAATTCAGAATGAGGTATTTTAAATTTAGCTAGTTTTAAAGAAGTGAGGTATGTTATAGTTCTGTAGTCTAGAAAAATCAATCAAACTTTCATCTTTTTTTCCTTCATCATTGTAGATATTGAGACAAATTGTTTAGAAGAAAAAAGCAAGAGAGACTATTTTACACAATTGGTATTAGCATGTTTGGTAAGTTTTAAAAAATATTTTCCATTTCTCAATTTTTTATGGAATGATTGTAATTACAATTAATCATGTTAATGGAGGAGGATATTGACATTCAGTTGACTGTTCATTGTAAGGTGAGACTTGGGTTTTGAAATGGAATGCTTTGTAAAATTAGACATGCTATTTCTATGAAATAGGCGTGCTACTGTATCAAACTATTTATGCATATAGAACCTTTGGTGATATTCCTGACCTAGGAAGTTTCTAACTAAGGAAAAGGTAAGCATCTATCAGATGAATAGAAATGATGTGGACAGCTTTTAAACTGAATGATTTTTCATAAAGTATTAGGCAAGGAGAAAAAGACTGGAGGTAGTTTAAACATAGAAAATTCTAGAACTTGTCATAATCATTGTCTAGTAAACCATTTTATGTTCATAAATTTAGAACTAAGGAGGAATGGCATTACTCAGACCTGGAAGAATGTCCTTGTCTTTGCTGCACTAGAATCTGACTTAAAGAGTAGAAACCAAAGAAGGCTGAAGTGCTGCATTATCTTAAAGAAAATTCAGTTTTAATCAGACTTAATTTTAATCAGAATTACATCTGTAGTTCTTGTCATTTGTAGGCTATGGAGAGCGTGCATATAATTTTTAGTGAAGTTTTAAAAAACTACATGCTGTATTTTTCAATACTTTGAGAGTCATCATTTTTGTTAAATTGAAGTTCTAAGCCTTTTTATAAAGTTGTTGATGTATATATATATATATATAATATGTGATTTTAATATTCTTGTTTGGGAAAATTATTTTGCATATGTTTTAAGCTTGTGGATGCATAATTGGAATGCTGAGGAATAAATGGCCTTTAATATTTTTTAATACAGTATTTAGTTTCAGACACAGTTCTAAAGGAACGCTTGGATCCAGAAACATTGGAATCGTTAGGGCTTATCAAACAGTCACAGCAATTCAATCAAAAGTCAGTTAAAATCAAGACAAAACTCTTGTAAGTACATGTATTTTTATGTTGTAGATCAAGTGCCTGTGTGTGTTTTTTACTTCCCATGTTGAATACCAGAAGTTTTTAAAGGTGTTTTGAAGACTTTTGTTGTTTTTGCTGTTAGAGTGTGTCTCGTGTTTTTTCTAAGAGTGGCCTATGGTTATTGAGTCAGCAGTGAACTCTACCTGTGTGAAACCAATGTTCATTTTTTTCCTTATTAGAAGTTAAAATAATCAATGTTTTTATTACTACCAGTAAAATAATTTACAACTATGGCTTTATTCTAGAGTATATTCTTGTCAATGATGGAGATAGTGTTATGTTAGCAATATCATTTCCTTGTGTAGCTGGTTTCCCCTGTGTAATTCATATTGGGATGTCTCTTAATGAATCACTGTTATTTTCTATCCTAAAAGATATACAAAGAGGTAAACTTTCAACAACTGTTCTTTTGGTGGTTTTATATAAGAGTAAGAAAATTCAATGAAAAGAATACATTAATCTTATGCAGGCCTGTTAATTGAAATTAATTTTATCTTTTTTATGATGTTTATCTAATTTCAGTTATAAGCAGCAAAAATTTAATTTGTTAAGAGAAGAAAATGAAGGTTATGCCAAGCTGATTGCTGAATTGGGGCAAGATTTATCTGGAAATATTACTAGTGATTTAATCTTAGAAAATATCAAATCTTTAATAGGTAAGATGTACATTATATGGTATGTGTCACTAAGAATAAATTTGACTGTTGAAGAATATCCATAAAGACAAAATTAGTGCATTTTCTATAGATCTTTGTTTTTAAATTAAGAAATGAGAGAAGTGTCCAGCTTGTACTTTTAAGGTTATTATCAGCAGAAAAAAATTTGACATGATATTTGTAAGAAATCCTTTCGGTACTCTTAACTTTGTGTTTATATTAGTTTCTGCTTTCTAGCATTTCTATCTTTAATTTTTTAGGTATTTTCCAATAATTTTATGGAGGGTAGAAAATAAGCAAACGTGAAACTTTATAAAATCTTTGGTGAACTCTTGAAATGTGGAGATGTTCTGTTCTTTTGAACTTGATTTTAAAAATACTAAGCAACTTTGATACACATTTTATCTGTTAAAAGTGCAGCACATGTCGAAGTGCAGCACATGTTGTAAAGTGTAACAAAGAGGAGAGTATTATTTTCCCTACCTTTTGAATAGAATTTCTTTAGCATTGTTCTTTCTTTTTTTAAATTTATTTGACTGCATTGGATCTTAATTTGCAGCATGTGGTGTTTTCATTGGGTCATGTGTTGGGGCGCTTGGACTCTGGAGTGTGCAGGCTCAGTAGTTACGGCGTGTGGGCTCCAGAGTGCACAGACTTCAGTAGTTGCAGCATGCAGTTTGAGTTGCTCTGTGGCATGTTGGGATCTTAGTTCCCTGACCAGGGATTGAACCCACGTCCCCTGCACTGCATGGCAGATTATTAAGCACTGGACCTTCATGGAAGTCCTAGTGTTGTTCTTTATATTGAGCATCTGGAAGAAATAGTTGGCTTCTATAGAAAGGAGGAATGAATGATAGAAAAATAAGGTACTTTTGATTTTTCAAGAATGGAAAGAATTTTTCCTATTTGTAAGGTGTTATGCTATCTCAGGGAAGATTTTGCAACACTTGGATGTCTTAAGTTTTGAAACCTGTTGGAGAAGTCATATTTTCTGCTTCACTAGTTTTATATATATATGTGTGTGTGTGTATATATATATACATTTATATATAAAATTTCATTTATTTTATTTATTTGTTATTTTTGGCTGTGCTAAGTCTTTGTTGTTCTGCATGGGACTTTCTCTAGTTGCGGTGCATGGGCCCCCCACTGCAGTGGCTTCTGTTGTTGAAGAGCACAGGCTCCAGGACAGGTGGGTTCAGGAGTTGTGGTGCACAGGCCTAGTTGCCTCATAGCACGTGGAATCCTCCTGGACCAGGGATTGAACCCATGCCCCCTGTGTTGGCAGGTAGATTCTTAACCATTGGATCACCAGGGAAGTCCTCCACTGGTTATATTTTATTAGAGGATGTGTCCACTCAGTCACTCAGTTATGTCTGACTCTTTGTGGCCCCATGGACTGTAGCCCACCAGGCTCCTCTGTCCATGGGATTCTCCAGGCAAGAATACTGGAGTGGGTTGTCATTCCCTTCTCCAGAGGATTTACAGGATGCTTATGCTCAATTCTCAGTTATTTTCTGCAGTTTTGAAATTTATGTATGATTAAGAGAGAGGAGGTATCCTAGTCCTTTCCTCCTTTCTCCAGTGGGGACCCAGATAAAACTAGATTTACTGCAGTTATCTTTGCTTTTAACTTAGGCTTTTGGTGACCAACTGCTATAGAGGTAGGGAGCTTTTAGTTTAAATTTGCCCTTTTCTTTGAAGTAAGTTTTATTCTGCAGCTGATGAAGTCTCTTTGTTACTTCCATTGTCAATTTAACACCAAGACTGGCAATCCCCTAGGGCTGCAGGGCTCTTGCTTGCTTAAACTGTGTGGCAGTGACCCATTAAAAAAAAATCACCTGTAGAGTTTCCTTTCTGTTCTTTGCAGGGTAGGCTCTACATTTTTCCTGCAGCATTTTGATCTAGTTTGAGATGTTTGTCAGTACTACCTTGCTGTAGGTTTGTCTTTCCTTGTATTCTGCCATGTACTGTCAAAATGGTATTCCCTGCATAAAAGTTCTGTGCTCTATGAGGTCTTCACAGTTTTAAAAACTTTATCTGCTTGTTTGTTGATATCTCTTGTCTGTCCTTGTTCCTTCTATTTTTTGTCCTTGTGAGTTTACACTTTATTAGTTCTTTATTATTTTGGGAACATTTCAGAGAGGGATTTTGTATGCTCTTATCTAACTTAGAAAAACATACGCTATGTACTTTCTTTTCTTGAACTTTGTCCCCATAGAGAACAGGCTATGTTACTGTATCTGAAGAACAGTGTGGCAATCACAGCTGTAAGCTCATGACTCACATGGATATTCCATGAGTTTAAAGAATTTGATTTCTTGGGCTAACCCTATATTCTAGTCTGTCAGGTGTACTACAAAGCACGATAGCCCAGAAGCACTCAAATGCCACCTCTGCAGTGTAGACTTCTTTGGCTACCCCACCCCCAACCCCAACACTCCCTATTGTTCACTATATTTCTTCTGAGCATTTGGCACCATATAATATGCACTGTATTTTATGCCACACCCCCACTGGAATGTAAGTAAGTTCCATGAGAATGAGGGTTTTTGTCTGTTTTGTTTAGTACCTCTAACCTAAGTGCCTGGTACATAGGTGCTGAATAAATACTGTTGAAAAACAAATGAATGTTTCCCCCTTTCTAGGATAGTTTATACTGATTCTTAGCATCTTTCTCCCAACATGGAGGATTTGAGAAAGTTCATTTCCCTGGCTCAGTGTTTGTTTCTCTTTGGCTAGCTGATTCCTCTCCTCCCCCATTGTCTGAGAAAGAAATTTTTCATAGTTGAAGTTAAGACTGAGTACTCACTCTTGCAGTGTTAGAATTTACCGGATTCCTCCTCAGGGCAGACTCTAGGTAGTCCTTGTCTCTTCTGGCCAATTACGTAGCATCCTGCTTTTCTTGACATCTTTGGATGAGTTTCCTCTTGTTTATTCCCATTGTTTTCTCTCTAGGAGCAATCTAGACAGATAATACCTAAGCTATCTCAGGTCTGATCTCCTTCACCAGCCACTGACAGAACTGGTATCTGGTTTGGGAGGCTTGCATTTTAGATACACTTACATTTCAGAGTACTTGGTCTGATCAGGAGAAATCCTTATTTATTCTATAATTAACAGGTAGTCATTTGCTCCCTCAAAGATTCTGGCACATCAAAATTTTATGTCCTAAATATGAAAAACAGTATTTATATTCTGTCAGATAGCCTTGGGCTGTTTACTGCAAGCAAGCAAGGAATAGGAATAATTATGAGTCTATCTGGTGGTTGCAACCTCAAGTCTGACAGTAAGTTTGAGAAACTTAATAGTAATGTATAGTGATTATTAGGCTCTTGAGCTGCCGTGTCATAGATGCTTCACAGATGATCACCACATCAAGATGGCAAAAAGCATATTTTAGAAATTAGGGGAAAGAATATCAGAGATGGACTCTTTGTTTTTTGGCTATGCCGAGCGGCTTGTGGGATCTTTTCCCTACCAGGCATTCAACCTGGGCCCTTAGCAGTGAAGGTGCTGAGTCCTAACCACTGGACTGCTGAGAAACTCCCAGAGATACTCCTTTGATTGCTGAACTAAACTATAAGCTGTCTATTCTTCTGTATGCCCTTCAGAAAAAGTAATAGCTAGTAGGTATTCTTTCCTTTCCTTTCTTCTAAATTAGTGGTCAGCAAACCTTTTCTGTAAAGGATGAGATGGTAAATATTATTTTCCTTTGTGGGCCGTGTGTTTTTTGTTGCAGCTACTCAATTTTGCCATTGTAGTGTGAGATCAGCTGTGAACAATATGTAAATAAAGGAGTGTCTGTGACAGCACAACTTCATGTACAAAAAATGGGTTTGATCCATAGGGTGTGGTATGCTGATCACTGCTGTCAATTGAAAGTTATGGCTAAAAATTAGTCATGGAGCTAGCTTGAGTTTAGTTTTGGAGGCTGAAAATGATTCTTGCTGGTTTGGGGTTTAGTGGCCCAGGATCTTTTTGGCTTTGACTCTCTGATCCTTTCACTCTCTGATCCTTTCCTTCTCATGCAGAATCAGAGCCCTCTTCGCCAAACCTCAGGACCTTCATTTGTCACCTGGTGTCCAAGGTTGTAAATCTGATTGGAGGTGGGAAGGGTGGGGTGAGAATCTCTCCTCCAGTCTCATAAGTCCTCTTAGTTGCTTGTTAAGTGACCAGAGAAACATTAAAAACAAAACCCCAAGTCAAATGATTTTATTCTTTGGCAGATTATGGGACATTTAACCCCTTTGAGTACATTGTCTTGAATGTACTTAGTATTCTGTCTTTAGATCAGTTTGGATATAAGAGCCATTCAGCCTTGAAGCTTCTTATTGTATCAACACCCTCCTGTCCCTTGGAAGTGGAAACCAGTTGACTACTTCCTTTACCTAAGGCTTTGCTTTATTGGTGTTTATTTACTATACATGAATTACAAAGAAGTCATTTATCTCTACTATGAAAAAGAAGACAGCAATTGGTGTTCTTAAGTATAGTTTTTTTTTTAAACTATCATACTTTTATCTTGTTGGATGTATTGCTCTGCATCTTGCTTCTTTGGTTCTTGCCTTGAAATGTGCAGTTTTTTGCAAATACTATTTCTTAGAAATAGTCTAGCATAAGTTTTCATTAGCCTGTTTTTAGTCCATTCAGGTTTCTGTAACAAAATCTCACAGACTGTGGGGCTTATAAAAACAGAAATGTATTTCTTACAGTTTTGGGGGCTGGAAGCCCAAGATCAGGGTGCCAGCATGGTTGGGTTCTCATGACAGCCCTCTTATGGGTTGCAGACTGCTAACTTACTGTTGTATCCTCATGTGGTAAAAGGGGCAAGGGAGCTCTCTTTTCTAAGGGCATTACTCTGATTCATGAGACTATGCTTTTATGACCTACTCATCTCAAAGAGCCTACCTCCTAATACCATTTCATTGGGCAGTAGAATTTCAACATGAATTTTGGAAGTACAAAAAACATTCAGACCATGGCTTAGCCTGCTTCTAAATAAGTTTACATGCCAGAGCTACGTCATGTCCTTTTGTTCAGAACATGGTTTTTCTTTGTCTTATAAGGTTTATTCTGTCAGGAACATGATAATTGAAGCTATCATTCTGTTTTATTGTCAGAAATGTATAGGCTGGATGTCTCTCTCAGTCGTGTTTACAGTGTTATCTGGGTCTTTTTATTTCTGTTAAGAATCTCAATTTGACCTATCCCTAAAAGAACCATTGTCGCTTTAATCATGTTTTTGCCTCTAATTGCGGTTAGTTGCTCTAATACTGGTCATCTTACCCATCTTTGGGGAACATTCAGTTACTTTTCCTTGCATTTTTTCCAAAGATGTATCATCTAAAAGGTGTGAACTTTCATTATGGGTAGGGAAGGCATTTTATTAATCTCTATCACAAGCATTTGGTACATAGTGGGTAGTTACTTAATGTTTCTTTAAATGAAGGAATGAATCCATGGCCATTACAGGTCTACCATTTAAAAATGTTACTTTCCATATGGTTCCTTGTTTGTTCCTGAAAAAGCATGTGTGTGTGTGTGTGTGTGTGTATTGCTTAATGTAGCTGATGTAGAGGTAGGGGGTAGGCTTATTCTCTTAATCAGGATGACATGACTATCAATGCTTGGGCTGGATAAAAGCCTTTTTAAGATGTTTCAGCACAAGATTGCCTGTTCTACCACAACTGCCATTAGAAAAAAAATATTTTGTATATTTTAAGCTTACTTATTGTTACTAAAATATTAATTGTACACGAATTAGTTTAACTGTTATTTAGCAAATCTCTACCATTTAAAAAATGATTTTTTAAATTTCATTTGGTTTCTTTTTTTGGTTATATAGCATATGTGTGTTAGTCACTTGGTTGTGTCTGACTCTTGTGACCCCATGTACTGTAGCCTGCCAGGCTCTTCTGTCCATGGGATTCTCTAGGCAAGAATACTGGAGTGAGTAGCCATTTCCTTCTCCAGGGCATCTTCCCAACCCAAGGATCGAACCCTGTTCTGCATTGCAGGCAGATTCTTTACCGTCTGAGCCACCAGGAAAGCCCATTATGTAGCATAGGTCATTCCAATTGATTGGCCTAACTTATGGCACCTGAGAGAGAAATAGAAAACTCATAAGCCAGGTTTTTTTGGTAAGAGATGCAAACAGTCATCTGTTATAAATAAATGTTGTATCCTGTTGGTCTAGGTTACAACCTTAAATTGCCTCTAGAAAGAAATTGGTTGACATTACAGATCACTGTAAAATAACCTTTGTGGAATAATATTGTTAAAACATAATGTATCAATGGTTCATTTTGCAACACATTGAAAATATAAACTGTAAAGCAGTGTGAATGAAACACAACGTTTCCATGTAATATGTTGCTGTTCTAGTTCTTAGACACAAGTTTTGTGGACTGTAGCTTAAATGGATAGTTAACAAGCTAACAATTTTTTCTAAAGTATATTCAGTGTATCTTTTGTTCTCTGATAGAATAGGGCATTGTTCATTTTTATTTAGTTAAGTGAATTTTTATATTTAGTAGATGTAGGAGTAGTTATAAGGTTGGAAAGTTTGCTAGATCCTACTTCCATACTCTATTATTAGTGTTATAGCAGTTTGAAGGCTTTTTTTTTTTTTTTTCAACTTTATCTAGGCATAAAGTGTTAGTCACTCAGTTGTGTCTGACTGTTTGGGACCCCATGGACTGTAGCCTGCCAGGCTCCTCTGTCCATGGGATTCTCTAGGTAAGAATACTGGAGTGGGTAGCCATTCCCTTCTCCAGGGGATCTTCCTGACGCAGGGATCGAACCCGGGTCTCCTTCATTGCAGGCAGATTCTTTACCGTCTGAGCCACCAGGGAAGCCCATCTGGGCATAATTGACATACAATAAAATGTGCATATTTAAAGTGTACAGCTTGAGTTTTAACACATATATACACACCTGTGAAAACATCTCCACAATCTAGATAATGCACTTTTCTATCACCCACCCTCCAAATTTCCTCTTGTTCCTTTGTATTTCATTCCTCCTTACTCCCTATTTCCTCCCGGGATAATCAATGATCTGCTTTCTTTCTTTTCTATAATGCTGTTGCATTGTTTTTTTTTTGTTTGTCTTCTTTTTTGACTGAGGTAAATAAAAAAGCTTTTATCCTGCAACACTTGGAGATAAGAATCTGTCCACCCCGAGTTCCAGACTCTGGCACTGGCCTTCACATCAGGCTCTTCCGGTACTGACTGTGCTGGGTGGTCTGTCTGAGGTGGGAGTCGGAGGTCTGCAGGTCCATCTGTCTGTACAGGTCCCTCAGCTCCCTGACCTCCTGCAGCACCCTCTTCGCCTGGCTCCAATTGGATGATGCCTCTCCCAGCAGCCGCTCCGTCTCCAGCAGCAGCTGCTCTGATTCAGAATCGGGAGGAGACCGAGGGGGGTCCTTGGCCTTTCGCTTCCCGTCTCCCAGTCCCTGAACCTCTGCCAGCAGCTCCTGAGTCTTCTCCAGTTTCCTGGCTACCAGGTCCTGGATCCGGGACAGCTGCCCCAGGTGGGGTGGGATGGGGGTTGGGGGGTCCTCGGCCCGTCGTTGGAGGGTGTGGGCTGGTGCAGTGTCCCGCTGAGACAAGATCTCCTCCAGGGAGGCACAACGGCTTTTTTCTGTGGCGGTCAACTTCTTGGGTGCCTGTGGGGTGTAGGTGGCCCCTTTGTCTGGCTTTTCCCAGAGTCGGGGAAGGCCACCTGCCCGGTCCGAGGAGGGCTGGACACGATCCGAGTCTGCTCTCTGCCGGCTGCCTGCGAGCTGGGCCACAGACTTATCCAGGTCGACCCGGAAGCTCTCAGCACAGGAGGTTGGCTCCTCAGGGGAAGGGTCTTCCTCCTGGATCAGGTCCAAGGTCAGCATCCCATCCGAGGTAGAGGTTGAAGCCACAGCCATTAGGTGTCCCCGAGTCGGAGGGCGGCGGGCGTGCTGGATTTTTGTCCTGTCTCTAGTAGGGTGGGTGAGATAGCTGTCCTCCTCAACGGTGACCTCATCCAAGACGCGGTTCTTGGCTCGGGTGATGGCGGAGTTGAGGGCATTGATCCATGATTCCTTCTCTTCCGGACTCACTGCCAGGAAGATCAGGTTAGGNTGCGAGCCCGGCCCGGCCTGGCCGCTGCCCCGGCCCGGCGCGATGTGGGCGGCCCAGCCCACGCCCCGCAGCTCCATCCACCACATTGTTGTTTAATTTGTAAAGTTTTAAAAATATTTTGTCTGTACTTGGTCTTCATTGTTGAACATGGGTTTTCTCTAGTTGTGGTGAGCAGGGTCTAATCTCCAGTTGCATTGTGCAGGCTTCTCATTGCAGTGGCTTCCCTTGTTGCCGAGCACACGCTTTAGGGCATGCAGGCGTTAGTAGTTGTGGCTTGTGGGCTCCAGAGCATGGGCTCAGTAGTTGTGGTGCATGGGCTTAGTTAGCCCATGGCATGTAGAATCTTTCTGGAGCAGGGCATGTCCCCTGCCTTGGCAGGTCCTTCTTAACCACTGGACCACCAGGAAAGTTCAGTGATCTGCTTTCTAAACTAGAGATTAGTTTACATTTTCTATAATTCTTTTATAAGTGAAATCATACAGTGAACAGTTTTTGGGTCTGACTTATTTAATTTAGCATAATTATTTTGTAATTTATCCATGTCGTTGCTTGTATTAGTCGTTCTTGTTATTGTTAAGTGGTATTCCACTGTATATTTACAGTTATATGTACTACATTTTATCCATTCACTTGTTGATGGATATTTGAGAGTATCCTATTATAAATAAAGCTGCTGTGAATATTTGTGTATAGGTCTTTATATGGACATAGACATTTTTTCTCTTGAGGTAAAACCTAGGAATGAAATGGCTGGGTCATATGGTAGGTGTTAAGTTTAACTTTTAAGGAAGCTGCTGATTTTATAAAGTATTCATACTATTTTACCTTGTATATTTCCACCAGCAGCATTTAAAAATTCCAGTTGCTATTTTGGAGTCACTTGTACATTCATCAGTTCAGTTCAGTCGCTCAGTCGTGTCCAACTCTTTGCGACCCCATGAATCGCAGCACGCTAGGCCTCCCTGTCCATCATCAACTCCGGGAGTTTACTCAAACTCATGTCCATTGAGTCAGTGATGCCATCCAGCCATCTCATCCTCTGTCGTCCCCTTCTCCTCCTGCCCCCAATCCCTCCCAGCATCGGGGTCTTCTCCAACGAGTCAATTCTTTGCATGAGGTGGCCAAAGTATTGGAGTTTCAGCTTCAGCATCAGTCCTACCAATGAACTGATCTACTTCAGGATGGACTGGTTGGATCTCCTTGCAGTCTAAGAGACTCTCAAGAGTCTTCCCCAACACCACACTTCAAAAGCATAAATTTTTCGGCGCTCAGCTTTCTTCACAGTCCAACTCTCACATCCATACATGACCACTGGAAAAACCATAGCCTT